GGCTGAGCCAGCACCCGCGCGGCGCCGGGGGCCGTAGCCCGCTCCGCGCCCTGGGCACAGCTGGGGGGGGGCAGGAGGTGCCCGGGGGGCGCGGAGAGGGCACAGCCCACCTGCGACCCGCTGGGACCTGGCAACCCGTCTGCAGAGGGGAAGGGGCGAAGTGGCCGCACCGGCCCCGTGGGGGGCAAGGGGGGGGCATTAGACCCAAGAGGTTGGCCACAAGCTTCCCACGAGGGGGGCAGCACCTGCCTGTGCCTGGCCCAGGGCGCCGGGCCCTTGGGGCTGAGACCCTCCCTTGCCCCAGCCGCCCAAACTTTGGTCCCAGCGGGGTCCACTTGCCCCCAGCTCCTCCCCTCCAGCCCCAGAGAGCAAACCGCCGGGCCCTCCACCAGGATGAAGCCAAGCCCAGGAGGGAATCAAAGCGGGGGGGGGGGGGATCACATATCTCTGCCCGTGTGTTTGGGAGCTGCCTGCTGCTATTGGTCCCGCCGCCCGGAGCAGTGCCCCCTTGCCTGATCATGAATACAAGCAAGCAGCCGGAGCCTATCACAGCGCAGGGGGGCTCTGCCTTCCTCCCCGCGGCGCCCAAGTTGAGCAACTTCCAGCCCTTCCAGCTGACAGCACCCGCCCCTCCCGCCGCTCCCCCCCAGAGCCAGCAGCCCCCAAAGGCAGCCACAACAGGCAGCAGCGCACAAACACGAGCAACCCCCCATACCGATATATAAAAGGGGGGGGAGGAGGAGGAGGAGGAGGAGGGGAAGGAGGAGGAGGAGGGTGGGGAGCAATCAGTGCCCAGCGCACGCCCCGGAGAAGCCCAGCCCCGCACTCGGGATGCGTGTGCGGGCCCCGGCGCCGCGCGGGTGACATTCCTGCAGGGGCCGCCGCCGCGCCCGCCGCGCCGCAAACTTTCCCCGCACGCTCCGCCGGGGACAGGGGCTGCGGAGGGGGGGCGGGATGTTTCTTACGCCTCTCTCCCTCGGAGCACAAGCCTTCTGCAGCCACAGCCCCCCCTCCCCGCGCGCCTCGCGGGACTGAGCCACAGACGTCCCTGCAGCTCGTGTGGACTTCTCTCGTGTTGCTGTTTGCTTGCTTTTTTGGCCGGGGCAGGGGGGGGGAGGGGGGGTTGCTTC